CACTTTTATTTCTTGCCTTCCTCACCCACCTTTTTTTTTTTTTTTTTTTTAAAGGTAACAGAAGTTAAAGTAAAATCCACAAATGGGGTAATAAACACCCAAGAAGGTGGGCAGGTCTCATTCTACACCTCTACTGAGAATTGCTATGAAAAGGAAGCTGCCAGAAAACCTGGCTTTGTCCTGCACTAAACAATGGAGCCCAGAGGAGAGGCTTAGCCTGGAACAGTGGGAATGTAAAGTATAACATAACAAATGCTTCTGAAAACACTGTAGCTTTATTTCTTTAACAACACTGCAGTCTGAACATGAAGTAAAACCAACAGATACTCTGAGGATGAGTGGGGCAGACCATGTGCTCATAGAAGCTTAGTTTGAATAAACATAGCCCCAATTTCAAGCCCTGGACTGTTTTCTCCAAACAAAGGGTCAGTGATAACAGCATCAAGCCCAACTTCAGATCAGGGGGTTGGTGCGGAGGTCACAGAGGTCAGGCCAAAGCCTCATTTCTACCTGTTTTTTCACTAGTCAAGAAATGAAAATACACAGGTGACAAATGGAAGACATTCAAAATACCAGCAGGAAATAAGACATTGACTCAAATCCAAGAGGGGAACCTGCCCTAAATTGCAAACTGGAAGAGAGAAAAACTTGGAAAGCAGCAGTGCTGTTCCACTCTGAAATGAGTGAGGCCAAGTAGGTGAGAAGAGGTTTCGAAAGACAACTCCCCGCCTGAAGAGGCTGGGCTATTTTTAGACAGTAAAGGAAGAGGTATTGGGTCCAGGGAGAGATGCATCCTCTCTCTCCAATGAGAATCACTTTGAAGGCTGAGGGCAGCTGCAGGCACCGGAAGGAGGAATGAAATGGAGATCAAAGAAACAAAACTAGGAGAACACTGACATTTTTCATTGTATACCACCTGTTGTGAGGATCTCAAGACACTTCACAAGCCTTATTTCAAGAGATCTGAGAGAGAAAATTCAACAAGAGCTTGACCAAGGTCATTCACAAAGGGTGATGAGGGGCATAGCTGCTGGCCACAGCGACATCCACTCTTAGTCATCTATTCTATGTGGAGAGCTCAGAGCGTGTTCCCTGGAGCCTGGCACAGAGGCGAGCACCACTAGTCCCAGCTACTCAGAAAGTAAGGCAGGAGCTGGGCATGGTGGTTCGTGGCTGTAATCCCAGCACTTTGAGAGGCTGCAGCAGGAGGATCCCTTGAGGCCTGGAGTTCGAGACCAGCCTGGGCAACAGAGTGAGACTCTGTCTCTACAAAAAACAAAAATAACTGGCTGGGCATGGTGGCTCAAGCTCGAAGTACCACTACACAACTATACAGGAAAAAAACTTGGAGACAAAAATAGAGAAAGAAGAATTAGATTTACAATTAAAAAAACACAACTAGAAGAAAGTCATCTTACCCATTGTTTCCAGAAGGAATAATATAACCTAGATCAGATTAATGGCTCTTAAGGAGGAAGATCTCAATATCTCCTTCGGTTACTTTTTAAAAATCTAGCAACCCTCCAGCGCAGACAATCCTTTTGTAACCCTAACTTAAATCTTGCCTGCTGGGCTTCGGTCCATTTCTGTCCTTTGTCCTTGAAAACAAGCCCAGCTCCCTCCACATAAAAATCTTTCAGAAACTTCTAAGAGGAGGAGGGTTAGCTACCAAGATCACACACATTTGCTTCTTAAGGAAAACACACCCCAACTTAGCGATGAGAGGCAGGAATTGACATGTCTACAGGCTCTGAACTTGGGGCTTTACTGGTAACTTCAAGTCACACTTCACCAAGACTAAGCTGATTTAATATAAAACTTTAAATCAGTCTTTTCCAATGTACTCGACTGAAGAGACCTCCCTCCCTTCGAAAAAGCTTAATGAAAATCTCAGCACTCATCTACTCTCTTTGCTGTAACTTAAATCTCCACCTCCACTGGCTCTCGCACACCAGCGTTTAGCCATATTTTTTAACTAGGTTTCTCCTGAATTAAGAACTCTTTACTAGAGAGCACTGCTTTCTACATACGTGGACTTCTTCTCTCTTACGTCCTTTACACCTAATTAGGTTGCATCTCTACATCTTTGTCACCTTTTCATTAATCCTAGTTTTGATTTCTCTTCTAAAGAGGTCATAAATTCGTCCTGATTATTTTATTCACCTAGATGTCCAAGTTTATCCCGCACTATATTTGACATCTTTAAATTATTCTTTTTTTTTTTTTAAGTACTTACTGCCTATTTTACACTGTCCTAAACGATGTGATGTAAAGGAAATAATGAACATGACCCCGATCCTTAGGAAATGAAGACATACATAAAACAACAATAAGATATTGGTTTCAAGGTCGGGGGCTAGTCACAGAAAGCCCTGTGGCTCTGATAAATACAGAATTGGACCTAAAAATAAGTGTAGAATTTGGTGTAAAGGAGAAGACTACTTTAGATAGAAACAATAGTATAATTCAAAGCAGGAGGCAATCTGAAGTAAGAGCTGCATAAAGGCTTTCTGACATTTCCTTCTTTGCCCCCCAAAAGGGGCGTGTGCCTTTTTGTCTTCAAATTTTATTTGAGAATTAGCTATCCATGAATCACAAATTTCCTTTTATCCTGATTACCCACAGCCACCACATATTAGAGCAACTCACAGAGCTTAATACGCCTGGTCCACAGAGCTTAATACACTAGAGTAATCACAAGGCAGGCTTTTAGAATAATCTTAGGTAGAGACCTTTTACTAAGGAGTGTGGGGAGTCTGGCATCTCTAGGGTCCTGGGCACACAAAGACAGCTACGCCTCTTGGGTGCTAAAGATATGCACCAGTCATTTTGCTGCCAGACCATTCAAGGGTCATTCAACTTCAGCTAAGTATTTCATACACAGCTTCAGGACAGACAAAGCCATCTAAAGCAGTCTGAAGCACTGAATTCCTATTTTAAACAGGGAATGGGTAAATGGTCTTGCCAGGGATGCCCCTTTTCCACTGTTTTCCTGGAGAGCTCTTCTCCACCTGCCTTAGGACTCACAGTTCAAGCATCCCTTCCTCTATGAAGCCTTTCCTTTTTTTTTTTTTTTTGAGATAGAGTTTTGCTCTGTTATGCAGGCTAGAGTGTACTGGCGGGATCTCAGCTCACTGCAACCTCGGCCTCCTGGGTTCGAGCAATTCTCCTGCCTCAGCCTCCCAAGTAGCTGGGATTACAGGCGTGCACCACCACGCCTGGCTAATTTTTGTATTTTTAGTAGAGACCAGGTTTCACCATCTTGACCATGCTGGTCTCGAACTCCTGACATAGTGATCCACCCGCCTTGGCCCCCCAAAGTGCTGAGATTACAGGGGTGAGCCACCATGACCAGCCTGTGAAGCCTTTCCTAATTCCTCTAAACTGAGTTAGGTTGCCTCCCCTGTGCTTCCATTAACAACGTACACATACTTCTAGAGCAGCACTTAACCACACTGTGTTTTAATTGTTTACATGTCTGACTAGCCATAAGCTCTTTGATGGCAAGGGTAATGTTTTACCCATAACTGATTGCACACTTAATAGGCACTCAATAAACACTTGTTAAATGCATTAATAATGGGTGATATTGGAAGTCTTAAAGAATGGCAACATACTTTCTGGATTCCAGACCAAAATTACAGTAAGAATTAACAATGAAGGCTAAACTCTTATTATACATTTCTACTACATACACCATTCCTGGCCAGAAAAAGAGGCCAAAGATTTGAGAAGATTGTTCTAACAGTGCTGATCACTGCCAAGTTACCAGCCAAGAATAAGAGCACTTGCAGTATTAAGAATGAACAGAGTCATATCTAAAACAATTTCTACATTTCAGGCTTATTTGCCTGCCTCAGGAGAATAGAAACAATGATGAATAAGAGACCTTGGAAGGGTCACAATGTCCACCGATCACAAAACCTTGTAGCAAACTGTGATTCAACACAACTTCTGCTGAAATATACAGGAAAGTTGTTCACCTTCTTACCAAACCTACTCCAGGTTCTGCTAATGAATACAGGGCTGAACTAAGTCCTCCCAGAACCCTGCCAGTTGTACAGTGGCATTCTAAATCATTCCTCATGGGATTTACTCATCACTGAAGAGATACAGGCAAAGCAATACAATGCTGTGGTCTCAAATGCCTCTCCCAGTAACAACCTCGTACCTCACAAGGCTATTGTGTTTACAGGCTACTAATAAGACACAAAATCTGATCTGATCCTGTGGGAATAAAGCCCTGGTCTCAAGTGATTAAACAAATGTAGTCTACTTCTGGGTTCCCAAAGTTGTGGGGTTTATTTAGTTGAAGAAAGCATAAGGACCAAAACCCAGACAAGTGAAGGGATGGAAAGGAACTTTGCCTCTGAGGATCATCTGCAGCCTTGGCATATAGTGAATGAGATAAGCAATGCTCAAGGGCCATCCAGAACTTTTTGCTGACAGATATCTGGCTTCTTGCATGTTATCATTCCTAAGAAGCCAAGATGCTCCAGTTAGCCTCTTGAAGGGCCAAAAAAAATTTGTTTTGACCCTAGGCAAGAGCAATTACCAAGCCAGTAACTCTGACTAGGTGTTTTAGCTATTTCTTTCTGCCACTACAGTCTTACATAACCCCAGCTGTTACATTAACACCTGCAGCTACATTAGTCACACCTTAGCCCTTCACAAGGTATGTGTTCCTACTGTCCTTTCCCAAGAAGGGAAACTGAGTCATAGCATATCAACTGGCTTCCCAAGCACATGCTTAGTGTATAGTGAGGCCTCAATTGAACCCAGGTGGCCTTCCTACTATTCACCTCTTCTCATGGATGAATCTCAGCATGCCCACCCCTGCTGCTTTTTCCTTCAACCTAAATTGCCTGCACAGATCACATGTGATCCTTCAGAGTAAACAAGAGCTTCTAGTTATCTTTACCAAGAAACAGGAAGGTTAACGAGGAACATGGAGCAGGAGAGGGTGGGTTTGGAAAGAGGTGGCTCCCAACAGGACTCACCTTGGAGCTGAGGTCCTCTCGTCGGTTTCCTGCCTTATTTCTGCGCAGTTTGATGGATGGAGATCTCAACAGATTCTTGATCCGGCTGGTAATGGTTGACCCTTCCACAGCCATTATGACGAGAAACCCCTTGGGACAGTCCCCGGCACAGTCCTGGGTCTTGTCTCAACAGCGGCACTGTCTTCCCACTCCACAGGGCTTCCCAATATGCCCTCTCACTGACCTGAGATGGCAGAAGCCAAGTATAACAGTGTCTTACCTTCTGCCTAGCGAAGTCTGCAGTTTTTACCTCTGGGTATTGCTCTCACCATTTTCCTCACCCCCACCTTCTAGCCCTGCACAGTTTCTTGCAACGTCGGAAGGAAAGGCTCACGAAAAAGGGGGGAAATCCTAAGCCACTAAGAAATGCCAGGCCCACGCCCGCCAGAGGCGTTTAACTGGCGAGATGGATGGGATGGGCCCTAGTTGGTCTCGTGGACGATCTGGTTCCCGTTAATGCCCAACTGCTCCCATGGCAACTGTAGAGTCCAACGGAGGAGGCCGCCGAGACCACCAGGGATTTCCGCAGGCCTGGACACCTGCGCTAGCGCCGGTGGGGACTCGGCGCGGCGGGGCTCGCCGCAGCCCACAACTCGTTCTGCCGCGGGAGCCTCCCTCCCCCACTCCCTATCCTCCAGAGCTCGCTCTCCACCCTCCACAGCGGCTTTGGACCTTTATCTTTCACCCGCCTCTGAGGCCCCTGCTACTCGTCAGCGCCCCCGTTCGGGCCAGCCTCACCAGCCTCGGCGAGCGAGGGCCACCCCGCTCACAGCGCCCTCGGGCATCGCGTTCGGCAATTTCAGCTCCGCCGCTGTAGCGGCAGTGGTAGAGGCAGCAGCAGGAGCTATGGTGGCACGATCGGCTCAAAACGCGAACTACCGCCTGGGCCAAGCTGCGCGCCAGGTGGGCGGAGCCGATGCGAGGGGCGCGGCCTGTAGTCAGGAGAGCGCTTCCAGAGTGGACGAGAAAGATTTACGGGGGCGGAGCCAACGAAAGGGCCCAGGAAGCAGACGGCTTGGGACTAGAGAACCACGGAATCCGCACAATTGCGGGTACCGCTTTTAGAGGAAGGTCAACAGAACATGGCTTCAGAATTCAGAGAACCAAGCCTTTTATGGTATTATCAGGCCTGGTCCCCCATGTAACTGCACTTCCCAGAGCCCCAAGACGATAACCACGCCTCCAGAGTGTTAAGGTTGCCATTTGATAGGCCCGAGGGACCGTAGCTGAAACTCGTAGCTCAGAATTACAAGACTGAGCTACAGCCTAAGAGCTCTGCTGCCAGCGACCACAAGTGTTGAGATTTAAAGCGCCTGAAGTAGTTTCTGCTCGCAGCCAGTCCGGCACGTAGACTCAACGTGGAAAGGATTATTCTGAATAACGCAATTTAATAGCTAAGAATTTAATAGTGTTTTTGCACTGGGCAACCTGATTGGTCATTATGAAAGGGGAAAGGGTGGCCTCGAACAGAGCTTTGGGCGTGCAGGGGCAAGAGAAGACAAGTGAATGTGCTATGTTAATAATACTGCAGGTTTCATGGTTTCTTTAGCCTCCGACGTCCCATTGTGCTTCCTCAGCTAAAGCTGACCAGCAGCACTTCGTTGCTCCAGATCTTTCCTCGTTCCATTTACTTGTGAATCCTTTTCTCTAGGGCTGTTCCTTGCTGAGGTCACTGTCGAGCTTGCTGATACTAGATCGAGGGGTAGTTTTTCTAACTCATGTCGTTGGAGGCAGAGGGAATACACGGAAATGTTACATGAAATATGTATTTCCTCTGTATTCTCCACTTACTACCATAAGAAATTATGAAAAAGCCTAACCCAGAGACTTGGGCCCCAAGGGAATAGTACACTGGTGTGTCCGTCTCACCCTATCCAGATCTTTTGAATCCCTGTGGAGATGACATGTGTCTGCAAGAGGGAAGAACCTCTAAGAAATTATTATACCTTATGAAAAAGCCTAAGCCAAAGACAAGGGACCCAAGGGAATACTACACTGGTCTGTCTGTCTCACCCTACCCAGATCTTTTGCAGCCCTGTGGAGAAGACATGTGATAGCAAGAGGGAAGAACCCCTAAACTCATTGCTTGTGTACAATGGTGAGCCTTGTACAGCCAAGTGGCAAAGCACATATGTGCTTGTGTATACTGTAGCCACATACTAAAAATGAGATTTGTAAAGCCCACAAGTTGACATGGAGATGATGGATGTCATCTCCTGGAAGGCCAACTGGCAATAACATGTGCCCTTCTTCCCTTCAACCATGCAACTGCAAATATTATGAAACATAAAATACGATTTTCACATTTATTTCCCAAGTCTGGAGGAAGGCAAGAACCATTAGCTACAATATGCAAGAGATAGTTGGTTCCCTCAACCTCTTGCTAGTTACATGATGCAACCTCTCCATGGGAGTAAAAGCTAATAAATGGTGCCACCTGGTGTCTTTACTTGCATGCTGCAGACCACAGCAGCTGCCATCTCCACGCATTAAACTAGAGTAAAAATGTGCCCAAAGAGCCATCCCTAATCCTCTCCAGATCATTCTGGTGTCCACTAACGGTTTTCTCACCTAATCACTCATGGCCAGGTAAATGGTTTACGAAGTATCATTGGTCATTTCTTTCATGAAAAACAACTGAAAGCAGTGTAATGAGGATTTCTTAAGTCTGAAACCTGGGTACTTTCTGTCTTAGGCCAAAGCCACACTTTTTTTTTTTTAAACAGAGCCTCACTCTGTCGCCAGGCTGGAGTGCAGTGGTGATCTCAGCTCACTGCAATCTCCGACTCCCGGGTTCAAGCCATTCTCCTGCCTCAGCCTCCCAAGTAGCTGGGATTACAGGCACGCGCCACCATGCCCAGTTAATTTTTGTATTTTTAGTAAAGACAGGGTTTCACCATGTTGGCCAGGAGGTCTCGATCTCCGGCTCACGATCTGCCCGCCTTGGCCTCCCAAAATGCTGCGATTACAGGTGTGAGCCACCACGCCCGGCCCACACATTTTTAATTCTTCACAATTCAGTCCAACTTTTATTGTCTAGGTACTATGCTGCCTTTGAGATACCAATATAGAAATAGGCTATAGGCTATTCCCATTCTTCATGAATTCCTCAGAAAATAACAGTCCCAGGTCTAATGTGAACAGAAGCATTATTCACTTTTCTCCACTCAGATTTACAGCCATTGTATACATTTCAATGACCACATGATCCCATTAAATTATAATACCATATTTTTACTGTACCTTTCCTATGTGTAGACACACACTTACCATGTGTTAAAACTGCCTATGATATTCAGTGCAGTAACATGCTGTACAGATTTGTAGCCTAGGAGCAACATAGCCTAAGTGTGTGGTTAAGCGACACTATCTAGGTTTGTGTAAGTACAGTCTACTCTATGATGTTTGCAGAACAAAACCACCCAAGCTGCATTTCTCAGAACATATCCCCATCATTAAGTGACTCAAGACTCTACTTGCAATCCCAATCCTCCAAAATGCAGTTAACTCTTCGTATTTCATCATCCATACACTATTTAACACTTTATTCTGCTTTTATATGTCCTAAACATCTATACATAGTGTTTGCCAGCTTCTGAAATTCTAGATGTCTGGGAATAGATGTTAAATAGTTCTGTTTAGCACTATACTCATTAGATCAAATTTTAAAATTCACCCTAGGCATAACATGCAAATATGGTACAATTATAAGATCCTGGGAAACAGGCTAAACATTTGCTCATCAATTCAAATATTTATTGAGCACCTTTACATGCAAGGCACTGTGCAACAGCTGAGACCAATGATTGCAGTTGGAAACAGAATGGATCTCAAAACCATACTTCCAAGACTGCTTTCCTATTATCTTTTCTACCAGCAGTTTACAATAGAAATTAGTAGAGTTTAGATTTGTCTCAAAATTTCCAACTCATCCCATAGTCTTCCCATCCTCTTAATGCACTACCATCACTATTCTACTCAACACTTATGTGTAAGAGCAGCTCAGTCATGTAATATTAGCTATGCCTCAAATAAAAAGTTGTACTTACCAAATTATTTCCCTCTATTCCAAAAAAATGCATTTTAACTGATTTTTTTCCTCCAACTGGCAGTGAGTCTGAGTATCTTAGCCTTAATTTTCTCTGCACCTAGATATTTGTGTCCATGTAAAATTTCATTAGTAGGCCGGGCACGGAGGCTCACGCCTGTAATCCCAGCACTTTGGGAGGCTGAGCCAGGCGGATCACAAGATCAGGAGATTGAGACCATCCTGGCTAACACGGTTAAACCCCGTCTCTACTAAAAATACAAAAAAATTAGCCAGGCGTGGTGGCGGGCGCCTGTAGTCCCAGCTAGTCGGGAGGCTGAGGCAGGAGAATGGCGTCAACCCAGGAGGCGGAGCTTGCAGTCAGCCGAGATCGCACCACTGCACTCTAGCCTGGGCGACTCCGTCTCAAAAAAAAAAAAAAAAGGAAAAGAAAAAGAAAAAAAATTATCTAAACCACTAAACCCAAAATAACACGGATTGTCTTTCTTGTGTGTTCAAAACATTTTCAAACTTGTTATGGAAGAGCCTAGCATCAGGGATTTCATAATTCCAGGAAAAAACTACTGCATTTACTATAAAATTACACAAAGTGAACAATTTGTATGAAGCTTATATAACTGGACTTGATCTGTTAGTGACCTTAATAGATTAAGAGTAGTTGGATGTCTAAAGGATTCCTTTAAACATTTTTGTTAACTGTCAAACCCTTTAACATATCCTCCCTTAAGAACACCTACTGTCCTTTACCACTAAGACTGTGTTTGTGTACCTTTACTCCCCAAGGTTAACAGGTAAACTGCCTTGCTCATACTGACACTAGAATGATTTTAGAATGACTTCTAAAACAAATACTTGCCATCAGGTTGCACACAATTTTGAAGCCTCCATGTAAAACATGCTACAAGCATTAGAATACCAAAAACCTCCCCCAAATGGCATATCAGAAACTTTGAGAAAAGGAAAGGATTCCTATGATAAAACCACTTCAGTGGCAGCTCTCTCGAATATGTCTTAGGGAATTAGATTTCTCTACTCCAAGTTGGCACAAACCTCCCAACACCAAGTTCTGCTTTAATTATTTTAACTGATTTATTTCAGGTTTATATATTCTACCTTTCAATCACCAAACTTCTGTTCTTAGATTTCTAAAAAAATAGTCACTTTTCGAAAGCAGAAAAGGAAAGATATATATATTTAATATATAAAAGAAAATGCTAAATCTGACATAATTATATTCTTAAAAACATTCCATTTATTTACAGATGTATAAAAAGGCGAATTATTGGTCTACTGAGATCATGCTTCTTATAGTGTTAGGGTGAGAGCTCACTGTCTTCCACGTTCCTCAACTCCTCTCACTCAACTTCACCTTTCATAATCACACATGTAATATTCATAGATCAGTTCCCCCTAGGGTAAGGTTAAAGGGTAGGAGTTTTTGGAGATTTTAGATTTCTGTCAAGACTGCAGGATTGTTCTGAAGACTAAGCCCTCCTCAAATTATCCCTGACAACACCTAGCTCTAAGAGGTCTTGAGAACACAGTATCTTGGGGGTTAGAATGATATCTGCAGCCTTCCCCCTAAAACGCCTGGAATCATCCCTCATTTCCATCTTCATACAACTCTCATCAAGAGTCAAGTATCTCCAATCAAGAATCATTACCTATTTACCTATTTTCTTCTTTAAAAAAAAAAAAAAAAGGAAGTGTTAAGCTAAAATGGTCCTTCTTTTCCTGAGGATTGTTCACTCACTTGCCTGCTCCTTGGCTGACCCTCAAAAGCCACAAAAAGAGCCTTGGGAAATCAGGAGGAAATGTAGGGAAAAGACAA